TTCTCTCCCCTACCCACCCGAAATTCCTAGCGTGTTTCCACATTACCCCTCATGACTCACCTATTTAATCCTATTAATCTGTTCTTCTTCCCTTCCCACCCCCACCGATGTAGGCCCAGTTTCTTTAAACTGGGGAGATTACAAAAAAGATCGATTAGACATTATAAAGAATGTAAAGGCTGTGGGGTAGAGGTGGCTAAAACCTGAGACAAGTTATATATTCTTCCCTGATGTAGTCACTGAGATAGGAAACCGCTCATAGGTACAAAAACTCAACCATTTCTGTTTTAAATGCTTCACCAAATATTCACTGCTATTGAATAATGCAAGTCAACATTTAAGTTTTTTCATACCAGTTAATATTTCAACATTTTAATCACAAAGTGTAGTTCTAATGTAATTTATTGGTATTTTCAGTATATAATATAAGCGTTTTATTTGTGTTTATTTATTCTAGATAAAGCTAAACAGTGGGCTCGGAATTGAACCTAGAATTCTTGCGTTTAACTCTCTCAAACTTATTGTTGAGCCAAAGAGAGAGAGAGTCATGTTTTGTTAACAACTGTTTCTTAGGCACAAACAATACAATTAATTATAATGTTATAATTTAGACACTTTCTGAACACATAACTGATCTTCTAATTTAGACACTTTCTGAACACATAACTGATCTTCTAATTTAGATACTTTCTGAACACATAACTGATCTTCTAATTTAGACACTTTCTGAACACATAACTGATCTAATTTAGATACTTTCTGAACACATAACTGATCTTCTAATTTAGATACTTTCTGAACACATAACTGATCTTCTAATTTAGATACTTTCTGAACACATAACTGATCTTCTAATTTAGATACTTTCTGAACACATAACTGATCTTCTAATTTAGATACTTTCTGAACACATAACTGATCTTCTAATTTAGATACTTTCTGAACACATAACTGATCTTCGTCGTTGTTCTAGTTTGTTTATTCATTACAAAAAATTTTAACTTTTTAGGTGAAATATTGCATAAAAATTAGCAGTGTAATTGTGACTTACATTGAAGAAAGTAAATATTAGGATAACCTTTTTAGACAGGCTTAAAAATCAACGCTAAATTTTGTTATAGGTGAACCTCCTGGTCTGTCCTCATTTTTTGACAAAGTCGGGTAGAGCGTAGTGGCTAGCGTTTTCGGATTGTGGATCCGAAGATTCACGGTTTGTGTTCTATTGCTGCATTTTTAGGCGGTGGGTGTTGTTGACTAGTTTTCTTCTCTCTCTAGTTTATCAGTTTAAAATCAGAGAAGGCTGTGTTCAGATATCCCTTTGTGTAGCTTTGCTAGAAAAGTCTAAAACAAAACACTTTTTTTACAACGTTTTGGTATACTTGCTGAATCCCTGTTACCGAACATGCTCGCAGTTTCAGCCGTGGGGCGTTATAAAGTGACGGTTAATCCCATTATTCATTGGTGAAAGAGTACCCCAAGAAGTGGCGTTGGGTGGTGTTGACTAGCTGTCGTCCCTCCAGTATTTCACTGCTAAATTAGGGACGGTTAGAGCAGATAGCCCTCGAGTAGCTTTGGCGAAATTAAAAAAGAAACAAACAAACTTACATTGTTATTACTCGGGTAAATCTTAATAACAACGTATCTGATAATTGACCTCTGATGATTTATATTAACGAATCAGGTTTTTTCTTTTACCGACGATTAATACTTCTGATTGTTTCGTTTACATACTTTTATTTATGAAGATTCTGAAGACAATCAAGTAAATTATTTACTGATAAGAACAATCCATTTTGTGGCATGTAAATGAGAATAATCAAATACACGCTTTCCTAATTGATTAACCGATTATCGATCTCGTTATAATATTCAAATCTTCTTTACGTTCATAAGCTTTAATAACTAGGTAAATATACAAACCTTTAGTAATCAAGGGTTTGTTTTATGATGTGTGTTTCTATTTGCAAAGTAATTTTAATTGCTTGTTTCAAAACACTTACGACTTTATGGAACAGAACGAGTTTTTATGACGGTACTTTAAGCGAGTTTTATAGTCTTGTAATGTTAATATATTATTGCCCAAGTAATTAATTCAAGTTTATAGTTAACTAAATGAGGTACCCGATTTGTACCACTATATAAATTCATACTAATTCATGAATTAATACTGTCCCACGGACTTATCGATCAAGTTGTTGTTGTTGTTGTTTGAAGTTAAGCACAAAGCTACACAATGGGCTATCTGTGCTCTGCCCACCACGGGTATCGAAACCATGTTTCTAGCGTTGTAAGTCCGCAGACATACCGCTGTGCCACTGGAGGGCTGTCGATCTAGTTGTTGTTGTTGTTTGAAGTTAAGCACAAAGCTACACAATGGGCTATCTGTGCTCTGCCCACCACGGGTATCGAAACCTTGTTTCTATCGTTGTAAGTCCGAAGACATACCGCTGTGCCACTGGAGGGCTATCGATCTAGAAACGGCATATTAAAACGTAATTTGGCCTTTAATATGACGTCACAAGAGGCAGAAAAGTAGATCTTTAAAACTGAGAACTTTTGTCGCAGATATAATAAGTGTGTGCCCCCCAGTAGCACAGCGGAAGGTCTTCGGACTTACAACTCTAGAAACCGTGTTTCGCTGCCCGTGGTGGGCAGAGCACAGATAGCCCATTGTGTACCTTTGTGCTTAATCTCAAACAGACAAATGATGAGTATGTCAAACTACTCTTAGGCCTCGAGAGCTCACTACTTGGTGCCAATTTGAACTGTGTAGTTCAGATGTGCACTAATATATCCAACCGACTCGCTTTTATTAGTACATAACCGGCGGCTAGAGGTTTCTATTTCCTTTTCATCAGCACAAAAATGGGATTTCATTAAAATCTGAACAATGACTCGAAATCCACAAAGAGGGTTGACATTATCTGTTGCTTAGCGACAAAGTGGCATTGCATTTGCGGCACACATTCTATTATTGTAATATAGCGAGTTTAAAATGTAACTTAATAATGCAGCTAGGAAAGGAAAGTACAGAACCGGTGTTCAGAAAGAGAGAGGCCTATTCTTAGATTGGTAACATAGTTATAATAAACTAAGAAAGCAACCCACATTTGAAATATTTCTATATGCAATGCAATGTACAACAATAGTATCTAATATTATGTGCATCAAATTTGAAGCTATATATATATATATATGTATGTGTATATGAAAGTAAAATGTTATGTTTCTGAGATAGATGCTGTGTGTTGTACTACAGTATCATAACCTATAAATCTATACCCAGGTTATGATTAGAAATAAAAAAATATTGTGATTATAATGATTAAATATTTGAGAAAATAAAAAAACATATATAAGTAATTAAATATTTGACATTTATCTTCTTCAGCTGACCTTTGGAGGACGGATCTTGACTTTGTGGTTACTCACAAAGATCGCTTGGTGGCGCTGAGTTTCCTGTCAATCATCAATGAAACAGAGCTGTGGACACAGGAGGCTGCCGATCAACACAAGAACGTCAGAGAAGATAGTCATTCCCCGCAAATTTCTGAGGTGGCGCTAGTGTCGGCCGAATTCATCAACTATATGTTGGCTTTATTAGTGTATACTGTTCGTTACCCATCGGTATTTTGGAAGGTTAACAAGTGGTTTGGTCTAGTCCTCTCCTTTCAGCTGATGGTTACTTCTGTACAACAGGTATTAGCCTTTACTTCCTTCAGCGTGCTCTATAAAATCTATATATTTGGTGCCCAAGCGATCCTGTTTCGGTTCAGCCCACTGCTCTTGAACGTTCCACTGTCTCTGCTTCTGTTTCTACTTTACAATATTATGTTGACGCTGTCTGGAACCATTTTATACATCTATGGCCTCCAGAAGTATCGGGATTGGGAAGAGTGTCAAGCTCGCAAACGTCACATCACATGGCGAGAAGAGTCCCGACGACTTTGGGGGTATATTCCCCAACTGAGCGCTTTTCTTGCTTTGTTGATTATTGCACTCACGGCATCACCTTTAATGTACGACTGCACTATGATATACTGCGCTAGTCTCGACGGCGTTATCTTAGCTGGAGTAACTGGTACTATTGTTCATCTTCTTCTATGGATCCTGCTATGGTTAGGCTTAACCATAAAACACAAATGGAAGTTTACAAATGGAAGAATGAAGAAGTGTCCTTTGACCTGTAATGGGCAGATTGCTAATCTTGGAAATAACATTGAAATGAAAACAGTAAATGCAACTAAAGAACCGCCGTTGTTGGTCATAGAAAACGGGCAGACTTACCAAGTCCGAGAAATGACCTCCAAGAAAGCCATAATTAATTTGGCTCTAAAATCTAATTTGAATGAAAAGTCTGGCTCGCCTTCAGACGATGAGGAGGTTTACTGGTTGAAACCTAAAATTCCAATTCCATCAGAAACAAAAGAATCGCCAGAAAATGATCGGATAACACGACGAAAAGGCAATCGTAAATCGAAAGTTACTTTTGAAGAAAGGCTTTTAAATTCGAGTCCTACAAAAAGGACTAAATCACTCACCAAGTCTCCAAAATTTACTGGAAAATTGAAAAAGCAGAACGTCAAATTTGAAGAGTTGTCAGATTCTAATTCAGAAGACGGAGATTATGCCACTTTGCGAGAAATGGTTGTAGTAAAAGATGATGACCATAAGACTCCAACTCACACGGTAATTATTATTCGAATTATCATACTTACTTGCTTAATGAAGCATTCGTGTGTTCATTACATAGCTGTTTTTAAGAAGGTTTTAAAATTTGTTGAAAGTACAAATATTACCTTTATGCAAAAAAAGTTGGCAATTTTAGGAAAATAACAACAGGAAACAAAATTAGAGTGCTTCTGGCCTAAAAACATTAGTTCTTTTACGAAAACATTACCTAACTTCAACGGTGGAAAACTCGGCTTGTGTGGATGGTGAATAATGAAGGACAAAGCTAGCTAGCTTCCCATTAAGCGAATTGTACCTACATCAACTCGTAATTCACTCGCTCATCGTGAACCCTCGATAAGATATCAAAGAAGTTCCAGACTAGAAAGAAGACTTTATATTTCTTGTAAGTTTGTAAAATTTTTGTATATAAATCATTGTGTATAATAACTATTGGTAATAACTGTTATTGTAAATTGTATTGTTTTTTTGTTTTTTTTTTATATTAAAACATATTTGTGTTAAAAAAGAAAACTGTTGGTATTAATCTTGTTGGCAAATATCATAAACTGACTATATATCGGCATTTACTTAACTGCTAAATCGAAAGTATAATTTAACTACTAAATCTAAAGTATCATTTACCTCAATTTCAGACTATTCGTAATTATAACACATAACAGTCTACACTAGTAATCCTTTCACAAGACAAAGATATTCTTAAAAACAGATGAGAATCCACTGAAGTTAAATGATTTGTAATGTTCGACCTTTGTAAATGCTCCTAGTCAAATAAGTGTTAATAACAGTTATAGCTTCCGAAGTTTATAGCATACTGACTATAGCAAACTAATAATACATACTTTTTTTTGGCGTGTCGCGTTGGTTATATTTATAGGCGTATGGAGGCTTTCTAGAAAATTCAGATTACGTAACAATACAAAGCTACATTTAAGCGTTTACGTACATGCATATATATCTTCTACAACTTTGGAGAATAGGCGAGAGTTTCTCAATACATATTTAACTGTATAAGCTATGTATGTTTGTAAATATAAATTTAATCTGAATAAACGTCGATACTAAAATAAATATATAATAACAAATCCGTCACAAGACATACATATATATATATATCGAAAATCGTAATATTTGAGAAGTGAATATTTTTATAAACTTCCAATACATTATTTGTTACCTTAAATAACATTTTTCGGTGGATAAAAAGAGAAATTCCTAATACATAAAAAGGGCAAATTTGAGGTCCTAGATGTTCTGAAAGATATCAAATATTTTATAAAAATAGCGATGAATGATAACGACCACTTATAAAGGTATAGTAATGCTAAAGAGATATTGTTTCTATAATGTTTCAACGATAACTTTATGGGAATAATATACTTTTAAACTGACGCAATTTAATAATTTCCAAAAAGTACAAAGTTTTCATACGATTCAGGGAATAAAAAATATTTCCATTTAAGTTTACTCTTTTTTCAAAGTTTTATAATCAACTTTTTACTTTACAAAAGATCAGTGAAACGTATAAATAAGTTTAACGGTTACTCTTATATACCATATAAAAGTTTTTAATTTTAGCAGTTCTTTGGAGCCTTAGCTTTTCACAATACACAGATGCATACATGAGTCATAACTTTTAAATGGTTAGGGGATCAGCTTAAGAGATGTTAATTGATACATAAGGCCTGAAGTTGTTGAAAGTTTGTAGCCAAAGGATCGAGCGTGACACACATCTCTAGGGGTATATAAAGGGTACTACAAAGTATATAAAATAGAGCTCCATTCACTTTCAGACTTCTGGCACCATTCACGAGGGCAAAAATAAAATAATGAAAAATTTATTGTTTTTTTTTCTTCACAAACAAACAACAAACGAACGAAACTTGTATGACCTCAGAAGTGCCAAAGTAAACATAACAACGTCGTAAATGCAGTGTATAATATACATCAATAATTTTATAATAAATGTCCAAAACTATCCGTATCAGAACACGATAATTAAAAATTAATT